GGGGGGGGGGGGGGTAGGTCATCGTAGGTCATTGCAGTCTCTCTCTTGAACATGAATGACGATATTTTTCGAAATTTTGCAATTGCGAAAAATACCAAGCTCCAAGAGTCATATAAATGTAGACATTGGGGAGGGGGGGGGGGGGATACTTTCCTCCCCCATTATTTTGATGGTACTTTCCGCATTCTGTCAAAACTTGATAATATTATTCCTTTTGAACTATTTGGACTATCCTCTTATAGTTACCGACTACGGTTGTTGTCGATTTAAACATTATGAATCCTTTTTTTCTCCATTTGTTTTCTTTTTCATTTCATAATCGCCCTAAATTTTTCAAAATTTCACCCCTTTAACCGACCCCCGTGTCTACTAGTTACATATATATAAATATATTCGTATCTATTGACTCTGAGTCTGCTTGTAAAGACTATGTTTGGAGACTGGAGTACGTTTAGTAATGTTCTTCACAGTCAATTTAGTATAACTGTTAAGAGACCACTTAAAGCTGTTACGTAATTAAGTTAAAATCTATATCTGGAGGTAAGAACCTCAGTCTACTTATTGTGAATATATTTCGTTGAATAATGTTCGTGTCTGATTGAGTATCTTTCCTTTTATCATTAATCAATATAATCAATGCCCAGATACTAGGCTATGAATCTCCCCTCCTTGTCTCCCCTCTCTTTGTCCTTCTACTCCCCCTCCCTGTCTCTATACCTGTCTCTCTCTACATGTGTGTGTGTGTGTGTGTGTGTGTGTGTTTGTAAGGGGGGTAAGTCTCTCGCTCTCCCCCTCTCTCTTCCTCGCCCCCTCCCTCTCTCTCTCTCTCTTCCTCTCTCTCTCTCCCTCTCTCTCTCTCGCTCTCTCTCTCTCTCTTCCTCTCTCTCTCCCTCTCTCTCTCTTCCTCTCTCTCTCTCTCTCTCTCTCTCTCTCTTCCTCTCTCTCTCTCTCTCATATTTTCCGTATTGTTTGAGTCTACCCATGGTCTACCCATCTCCCTCACTGAGCTGCAGGGGCACTCGCTCATGCCATTCCGAAGTACCCTAGCCGGATTATAAGCTTTACTCAGGGGACAGACTATACCTTTAAAACCCTAACCCTAACCTTAAAATTAACCTCAACCCTATGGTCCAGATTCTACTAATCCAGTAAAGCTCGGACCCCAGTCTAAGATCACATTTAAAGGTAATACAAAGTTTTGGTATGGGGTCATGAATTTGGTTCAAATTAACATAATGGAAGCATATGTGATCCTACAATATTCAGTGATCGTTGACGCGGTTGAAATCGAGTCTAAAGTGATGAAAAAAATAAATAATAAGCTCTTTATGTTGTAGGCCTATAGCTCCATCTCAAGGTCAAGATAATGATATAGCTATAAAACAATGTTTCTTGACTAAAATCGACCGATTTGTTACCCCCATTTTTAAATTATATATCACAACTGCATATTCTGAGATTTTCATGTTCGCAGCTATCATTGTATGGCCGTAGGCGCTATTTGAAATTTATCATAACTTACCGGGAGCACCGGTAAATTTTGATATTCATTATATCTCGAAATCAGAAGTGTCTAACGGGCTAATTTTTTCAGTGCTTATAATACATCCGCATGGGCATCCAAATAATATTATATCAAAATTGTAAGGAATCAATATCCAGCCAATTTTCAAAATTTACCAAAACTTTGCATTACCTTTAACCTATACAAAAAAACCTAAACCTCAGACCATAATTTCCTTAGTTTAATTGTTAAACCAGATTTTAAAGAAAAATTTTTTAAGCCCAGCGGCGGGTCTGAAATTTAGCAGAATAAATAATACGGGTCAAAATCTTTGTCAAATTAAAGCCTGCATGGAACAATCGTCGCAGGATATAAATAATCTCGCTTTTTTCATGTGTCTCGTTGGGTAGAAGGAAGAAGGTCGTCAGTGGGCAGAAGGTTATTCGCTGACACCATTAATGGATGTACAACTCTCGCACTCAGCAAACCTGTTTAAATAATGTTAACTCTCAGCATGCCTTCAGTCGCGTTTTCATCATCTCGAGATTGCCAAATAGCCCGCTATTTCTGATTTGGGAAATAATCCCGAAGTAACAAATCGAGTCTTCATTACCTCGAGATTCGATCTCGAAACTTGAAACTCGACCTTCAGAAATTAGCTCGAGATATTTTGCTCAGCGTTAGCGCTTATTGCGAATCTTCGGTCTGGTGTAGACGCACGGGACAAATAGCTGGATATTTTGCAAACTATCCCAAGATATCCTGACCAAATATCCTTCTAATTGCTACTTCGATCTGATGAAGACGCAAATTAGCTGGATAGTTTGCGATCGGGATAGTTAAAATAGCTGGATATTTGGCAATCTCGAGATAGTGAAAACAGACCTATAATGACTTTACCATAGCATGGGGGATGGGCAATAAAACTGAAGGCTAATCCTGGTGATTGACAACATCTGTTATTCGGTAAATAATACCCCCCTCCGTTTTTGACTTGTCTGTGTCCGTGTATGCTCCCGGGCCCCCGGTTTCCCCTCCCCCGGTCTCTCTATCTGTCTTCCTATCCTAGCGTTTTATTGGAAATCTTTCTTTGGCCAAATAACAATAGGGGGTTTTCGTTTGTCACGTTGACATAGTCGACGTCTAATATGTGACGTCATGTCCGCGATCTGCGCATGCGTCGGGTCGTCTGGCGTCGTCAGGCCACATTTGCGAACCCGTTCATCGATGATTTGAGGTTCGTCAGAAAACTAGTGACCCGTCGTCAGAATGACGTCATCTTGCTACATCGCAGCGTAAATCAGAAAGTAAAAACAGAAAGAGAAATTGATAGAATGATTAAAAAACAAAGAATAACATAAGGAAAGACAGAAAAAAAGTGTGATAGAATGATAAAAACAAAGAATAACATAAGAGAAGATGATAGAAGGAAAAAACAAAGGCTAACATAAGGGAAGACAGAAAGAGAAGGTGAAAGAAGGGAAAAAAACAAAGAATAACATAAGGAAAGACTGAAGAGAAAGTGAAAGAAGGAAAAAACAAAGAATAACATAAGGAAAGGCAGAAAGAGAAGGTGAAAGAAGGAAAAAACAAAGAATAACATAAGGAAAGACAGAAAGA